CCCCAAACACTGGGGACACCTTGAAGTCAAACACAGCAGTCTTCTGCCTGCTCTAATCAGCAGCAAGGACCCTGCTGGCCTCCAGCTGCACTCAGGGTTGGAGATGACAACTGCCACTTCTCGTGCCAGGGCTTCGCACTGCACTGCAGTCACTTGTTTGCTCCAGGCATTCACAATCACATCTGGGCAGCCACTTGGTGGGCAGAGCTTTTCTACTGCAAAACTGCTTCAAACAGATCCCATCTGCGGCCCTTCAGAAGAAGCCAATGAGGCATTAACCCTGCAGACAGCTCCAACACCTTGTATGAGCACATGGCCACGACGGGCACTGCTGGGACATCTCCAGTGCTGAAAGCTTCCTGCGTTCCTACAAACCATTTTGTTCATGCACAATAAAACAGCATAAATAATTCCAAGCCGGCTGTGCTCCCAAAGCACGGTGTGCCAGGGTTTGCCTCACTTGCTTTGCTGCCCTCCAACAGCCAGCAGGAGATGTGTGTGTGTGTTCAAGCAAGATGCAAAGCAGGGGGAGAAAGGAGATTTCCCTGATCCACTACAGCCGAGAAAACACAGACTTTACAGCTAACAGGAGATGAGGAAGAACTCCAATCCTCAAACAAATAAATTAAATGAGGTACCTAATTCCTGTTGCCTTCAGGGCAGATAAGCACAGGAGGCAGATCTTGGTCAAGAGGCATTAACTTCTTGCTGCTAGCAAACGATTGAGTCATCGTCTAGGAGCACCTCCCTCCTTCTGTATCAGTTCTGAACGTGGTTGACCCCACGCTTGTTAAGCCAGCACCAACTCCAGGGATGCCCCAGCATCCCTTTGGGGTCAGGAAGGCTGTGTGTGCAACTAGAACACGCAGGCATCCAGGGGGAAAGATGGCATCACCCGAGCTTCCTCAGAACCCAGGGAACAGCCGCAAACATCGCTTCTCGACTCGATCACAGCCCCGCACCGCGGCTCGCTTCGCCCCTCGCCCGGGTTGCCCCGCCGCCACGCCGGGCCCCGCGGCTCCGTGCCGGGCTCTGCCGCCCCCTGGTGGCGCCGGGCGGGCAGTGCAGGGCCGGAGCTCAACGCGCCCCCGCGGGAGGTTCGCAGTTCGTCCCGCGGCCCTGCGAGCTCCAAAAAATCTCCTTGCAGAAGCTACGGCCATCTAAATTAAACTCAGTTCCCCCCATTGCTGGGTTTTTGTCCGCTGAGCCCGGTCTCGCTAGGAATCGCCTCGCAAAGCATCCCCTTCAAGCTGCTCCCTCCCTTCCCAAGGCTTAACAAACACAAACAAGCTTTCAGGCTCAAAGACAAGTGCTCAGCTTTGCTTTAAGCCGAGCTCTCAGCCTATAGAAGCCGCCTCCCGAAGTACTTTTGAGATCCAGCTTTGCCACCCCATACAAACATCCAAACGAGGACGTGCCCACTGCCCAGCACACCATAACCACCGTTATTAAGACTTGCCTGGGAGGAATCCAGCAGCTCGAGCTCCTTTCCCAAGCACTTCTCGCACTGCACCCACACCAACTTACTGCCTCTCCCCCCTATTAAAACCCGCAGCACAATCATCACCTCCCCCCGCGCAGCTGAGCTGCAATCAGAGGCGATCAGCAGCTCCTGTGGCACACAGACGATGCAACCCGGCCTCAGCTGCTCTGCAAAAGGCAACAGAAGACACCAGAATTCAGCTCTAGGATAAAAATCCTCCCGTTGGTGTTGAGGCGCTGTGAGCGCTGCTGGATGAGCTCCAAGTGGCCGCATCCAAGTGTGAAGGTCACAAAATTACTCTCCTTACCCACTTAGGCCAGCTAGGTAGTAATTTGGTTTATATGGGGCTCTGGGGTCAATAGGGAAAAAGAATCTCATGGGTTTATCAACGTTTTGCACTCTGTCACCTTGCCTGAGCTGCTTTAAGGTTCTCTCCCTCTTCTCCAGATTGGTTGCATGCTAGGAGCAGACTGAGCATCTCCATGGTGTGTTGTGCTGAGCATAGAAAGGACACTGCCAGCCTCCTCACTGCAAAGCCCCTTCTGTTCTACGTTGGAGGTCAGAAGATCTTTGCCAGTCAATGCAATGTATTGGGAAATACCTTCGTAATGTCTACAAAAGGTCCGTGGATTTGAGATCTTACATTGTTACTTACCTCATTAAGGTGCATGAATCACAGAGCAAGCAGCAAATGGCAGAGATAATGCAAGGAAGTCTATGCTCACGTCCTCAAGTTTAAACATGATGTAAAGAGACATCTTTAAAGGATGAATGGGGAATATTGATTCTGCTGGGAAGCCCCACAGGTTAGGAAACCTCCACCAAGGTCACAGCACTTCAAAATCCCTGTATAAAGGAGAAAACTGAGACACAGAAACACAAAGCAAGTTGCCCAAGTCACCTAGCAAGGCAGAGCAAGGAATCAAGAGTGCTGATGGGCAGGAACGCTGCCTGCATCAGTGCTGAACAAAGATCCAAATCCAGCAACTCTGCACCCTGGCTTTCAGCATTTCTGCCATTTTATTTAGCTGAACTTTTTTCAACACAGCACAAACAGGCACCTCAAGGTCAGTGCCCCACATCTGAGAGGTTGGCAAAGGCTCACAGAAAGACTGCTCAAGTGAGCAGAGGCCACAAAGAAACCTTTGTCCACACAAATCCTCATGGATCTTCCAGGAGGACGTTGGTGAGCTCAAATATCAAGTTTTGAAGTCATTGAGCAAAACGGTTAAAGGCAGACAGACCCAAAAGGGTTTAACACATCTGTGAGGCTTTCTGCTTCTTGCTACAGATGTCTCCCTCCACCAGGCAGTTCAGCACTAGCAGCATTTTTATTAAGGTTGGATGGCAGAGAAAAACTTGAAATCTACATTTCAGCAGCTGCCAGCACACTTATTCATGTTAACTCCTGCACAATGTTTCCTTGAAACCCTCTCTTTCAAAAAGGCAGTGACAGAAATCTGCTTGCAGGACGAAGGCGCTGCTTCAAGACAGATGCTGCTCCTCATTTCCAGCAATACTTCCACATAATACCAAAATATTTGGCACAAAACATCTGATTAAAGAACTGCCATCGCTGCTGGCAGATGGTGCTTCTCAGCCCAGTCTGCTAACGTTGGATGTAATCTGATTGCAAACACTGTGCATGCAATTTTTCCAGCTCAACAACCTTTACATAATTTTTCATTTTAGTTTGTTAACCAACATTGCTGTTACGAAGTAAACAGCCCGATTACAGTGCTATCAAATGAATCCTTTCTGCTCACCCCACCCTTCCAGCTTTGGGAAACGTCCTGTTGCACATTAGCCCAGCAGCCAGGTTTTCTCCCATTGCACCACCTGCATAAAACATCCCTCGGGCTGCTCGTGCTACGAGGAGCCAGGAGAGGGTCCTGAAAGAACTCAGCTTCATGCTTTGGCACTATATGACAGCAAGACTTTCCCTACGTAAGAGGTTTGTCAAGTATCCCCAGCAGCCTTTGCTCTAAAAGAAAAACAAAGGATTAAATCATAGAACGGTTGGAGTTGGAAGGGACCCCCAAAGGCCATCTGGTCCCACTGCCTGCAGCGCACAGGGACACCCACAGCTCCATCAGTGCTCACAGCCTGGTCAGCCTGACCTTGGCTGTCTTTATTTCTTGTTTTTCTTGGGAATTCACAGCTGATCCTCCTCACTATGCAGTAATAGCTCTAGAAAAAGGACGTTCTTCAAGGAAGTTACATGTCTACAGAGCTTGTTGAACATATGCGTGCATTTCCCAACCAGAGGCTGTGTGAGTTATGAAGGAGGGTTTGTTTAACAGGAAACAAACACAGACATGTGCTAGTGTCTCTCTTCCTCACCGCTGACAGACTGAGTGCAGCAGAGGCCAAGAGGATTGCTTTGCTAACTCATAGTGATGGATGAACTCAGAGACCATGCTGGCACAGGGCATTCATGCTCTGGACAGATATTTCAGAACTAGTCAGACTTCCTACAGCCAGACCAAAGGGATTTGTCACAGCTATTCTCTTCAATTCACTTTTTCCCTCCCCTATTAATTCTCAGAGTTTCTCTCCCCAGCAAAAACTCTACAACAACTTTACAGCTTTGCTTTTAAACAATGCTCCCATTTGTCACAGGATTTGAATAGGCCCCATCTGGAAACACCCAGAGTCAGAACACTGCGTGAATGCTTTGAACCACATCCTCCAGAGAAGGAATACAGGCTGGCCTTGTATCTGTCAAACACTCGGTGCCCAGCTTGTAACAAGCTTTGAAGGACAACCCCGAGTCTTTCTTTCCTATTCTCCAGTACTGAAAAACAAACAGGTGCAGCCCGTTCCAGCTGCACAGTAACTGGAGCTGGAATTTAACAAGTTCTATTATCTTGATTTCAACAGCCATCCACAGATGCCCTTTAACGATCCCAAGCCACCTGCAGGCATTGAGGAATGCTCAGGAACTGGTTTGGGTTCAGCTGGGTAACACAGCACCTGCAGCAAGGAGGCTGGGAAGGAGGGCCTGATAACCACCAAGGCCAGCAGGAAGCTGAGAAGAGAGCAAACAAGGCTTCATTTCTGTCTTACATTCCTTTCAGAGGACCTCAGTGCAGTGAGAAATCCACACGCTGAGGATTTTGCTGCTAAACCTAAAGAATGCTGACAACATGAAGGACAAACAACATTTGCTCCACCTATGTATTCAGCACAGAGACCTGTATTGTATCAATAAAGCAAGCTTAATGTACCCGTGACTGATAAGAGGGACAAAAAGACAAGTAGAGCCCCAAAAAAGCAACAGGAGAGATAAGTATGTCATAAATTCTCCATTATAGCAACTATATGGCATTATATTCCCTGCCCCACGATACATAAAAACACTCTTCATCAATTCTACATGCACTGTAAGTACAGCAACGTTTGAAATTCCAACCTATTACAAACTTCACTGCCAATTTCTCCCAAGGGTCGATGTAATGTAAATGGTTTCTGAAACCTCCATAGCAACTGGTGAGGAGAAAGAAAGACAACAGAGTAAACTTCATTGGTTTTATTCTGCAAAGCAATATGCACATCATACAAACACAAAATTAATCTAGGAGAGAAATGTCATTTCCAAATCAGCTATGAACTGTCATGCAACAAGACAAGTGAAATGTAAGAACAAAACAAAAAAGCCATCTTAACCCTACAACCACCTGCAGAGGGTTGAAAACCAAGGCTCAGATTTTCTATGTAATGCCAAAGAAAAATGCAAAAGAAAATGGCAGCTTTCTAAGAACAAGAAAACACATACAAATAGAATCAAAACTGATTCAAGTCATAGTTCAAAAGAAAAAGAAAACAACGAAAAAAAAAAAAAAAAGGAAAGATCAATATGATCTGAACTCTAATATTAAGTTTTTATTTTTCTGTTTGGCTGCATTTATCTTGTTTTACATCGTGCCTAGGAACAATCTGATATTCCTCAGGATTGCAGCAACCCAACCTGATGGACTCCTTCCTCCCTGCTGCAATAATGGGGCAAAGGGAAAACTAAGGCCAAAAACACAGCTCTTTAACATTTTCCCTTTTGCTTCCATTGGTCACAATCTCCAGTATTTCTCTTTTTTTCCATACAGTGGGTGACAAACCACAAAGCAGGCTCTTCTCCTCACCAAATAGCAAAACCAGATTAAAAAAAAAGATATATATATATACATATGTTTCTTCCCAACAGACCAATTTGTAAATGGGACATCTGGAGGTGGATTTTTAGTTTGCTGGAAGGAGGTGGGTTTGCTTTTTTAAAGGAGTCACCATCAGTGTTCTCTAGGTATTTCTAGAACCTGCAGCACCACCCCAATCACTTTCGTCTTCCTGCCTTTGGTCCCCACATCAACCCTCTCAGGCAACTCTCACAGTCAGCACTAAAGCAGAAGGTGGTTTGCATGGATCAGGAACAGCTCAATTTCCACGAGAAGCTGTTTTTACCTTGCTGACCCATGTCAGTGAAGCAATATTAGCCCATAGCAGCATCAGGAGAAAACTGGAAGCTTCGTTTTATCCCTAGACTTCAAACTGGGCCATCTCTTGAGCTTTGCTTTAACATCACTGGAGAAAAAAATATATTAGTTACCACTGCTTAAGTAACTGAATTCTGGAATGGAAACGTTCTGATCAAAAAGTGTGACCCTTGACTGCTCTTCAGAGCATCTGAAGCAAACTTACTGAATGCTGAAGTCCTATACATACAGGCCCACAGACCAGCAGGGTACCATCCACATCTATTGGTAATAAACTTAGAATCTTATGCCAGCACAATGGAGACTGTAAGATTTTGACTTGAGTCGTCTTGTTTTGTGTAGTTTAGAGTGAAATTTACCAAAGGAAGAGAGAGAGAAAAAAGCCCATAAGTGTATTTTCGCAGACCTACACTACAAAGAGAAGATGAAAGGTCAATTAAGGCAACCAGTGAGATTTTAAAAGCAGTGGTGGAAATGTCTGCAGGAAAACCACAACTCCTGAAAATTAATGAGGTTACTGAATAACATGAGGGAAATAAACAGCAAAAGCCAGAACGGAAAAGAGAAAAAGACACATAATAAAGCTCCTCTGATCGAAGAATGGACACAGAGAACAGTATGAGTTTTACTGTGTGGTTTCTTTGACCTTGATCACGACAGCCCTAGTTCCCTCCTTGTCATCTTCCCCTGAGTGGACAGCATTAAATGGAGATTGGCCTAAGCTAATAAAAGTGACATTTTCCGCTGCCCTTCAGAGATGGATGGAGAGCCCCAGAGTGAGGCTTTGTAACAGAGGACGGGATTTCTTTTCCTTTCATTATTTGCACTTGCCTGAGGCTGTGCAGAGCCCCGACAGACAGCACAATGCATCTTTTTACCCAGTGTCACTTTCTAGAAAGAAGGCTGACAGAGAGCTGCTCTGCAGCATAGATGCACATTCTGGGTTTGAGGGCTGTGGATGGGAGGCCAAGCAGAAAGCTTCCCAGGCAGTCTCAGTGCTGACTGACCCTCTGGCATTCAGTGGGCCAAATGGAAAAAAAAAAAATAATAACAGTAAGAATCAAACTTAGTTTTCAATAAGAAAGATTTTAAAATGGGACTTCACTTCTTAAGTTTTTTTTACTATGAATAAAAGCACAAGTTTGTCCTAAATACAGCACTATTAAAATGTGTATATGTATTTCTTTTTTCCCCAAAAAATAAACCTAAAACTGTTGATATCTTTTCTCGCAAGCAAGGAGCAAATGGAAGAAGGTATCAGGCCACACAAACACACATTTAACTCATGTAGTAGATTGGTGGCTCTGGAAATGCAGTATTATATCAAAGGTGCATACCGTTTCAAACACACTGTACATATCATTGGGCAAATAACAAAGATTTGTTGGTTTGAGACATTTGCAAAGGCATCTTAACCTGCCCAGATGCAGCTAGACAAAAATATCTTGCTCTGACTATATGTAGCCATATCACTAAACATATCTACACCAACATTCAGCTATGTCCACAGGTAAAGACTGAACGCTTCTGGCCGCACTACAATGCGGAACAAGTGCATCATCTATTCTGAATACACCTTTATAAATATGTACAAATCAATTACAGGCACTTGAAATGTCTTTGGTTGGAATAAACCAACATTGCAAGATAATGTATTCACAGAGTGTCAAGACCCATTCTGGGTTCAGCAGGCAATGATTACGGTTCTCAGTCATTCTCAGTAAGATGAGAGGATGGATTACGCTTCTGACAAAGCAACCTAAACAAAAGAAAAAGAAAACATTTTGTTAAAGTCAAATTCTTAATCTGGTAACAGTGATATTGCTCATCTCCACACAGCTGGCGTATCTGCCCTCCAGCTTTTCAAAGAACCTTGAAAGTCTAACTTGGAAAGGATCAAAGGAAGTCTGAAAATGTTTTGTGCTTCGCATAATCTGTTTAAAAACAATACAGAACAAAACTGCTTATACTATAGAACATCATTAAGATCAAAAGAAGCTAGCATTCACTTCCTACCTTACAATAAACACATTCATATTTAATCCTCCAAGCAAACGTGCAGCTCCAATGCAGTACTGAATAATGACTGTTCCATTACCTTTGTGATTGCTTCAATTCTGATTAGCAGCCACTAGAAATATGTAGTATATTTTATTCAAAAATTATATTTTATTTTCAGCCCGTTGTGGTGAAAGATAAACCCATTCAGTGCTATCTATGCAATGCTACATACAAATTAATAACATCAGAAGTGGGGTGGCAGTCATTATGGCACTGACTGAATTGCACTAATCCACCTCTGCAGGAGAGAAATCTACCTGAGGATCTACACAGCACACATCTGTATTTTGCAGCACCCTTCCTTAGTGCCCACGATGAAAAACTCCTGTCTGTTTGAAAAGAAATTAAATCTACATTTCAAGAGATAAGAACAACCAGTCTGCAGTACATACAAAAGGAGGCTTTATGTTATCAGAGTCAGTACTTTGTTATTACACAAACTCACCTTTTCAGAGCAGAATTCTGTATTGCTTTGTCTCAGTTTGCTTGGTCTGCCTTTAATAACTGCATAGCAGAACATTGTAATCACCATCACAAAAAGAAAGTAACTGGTATGCATGAGATGTAGGTTTATTAGAGAGCGATCATCCTGCATAGGGAATTAAAACCATTCACTGACAATGCACCAGTAGTTGACACTTTCTATTAAAGCAATAATTACCAAATCAGCACAGAAATTACTTCATGAATCAGCTTTCTCCCCTATACAAGGCTGGCATTATAATGAAACTGACTGTGGCACATAAAGAGCCAAAAATGCTCTTCATGTTAAAAATCTGTCCTAGAGATCTCTTCCCATATAGCAGCAGTGCTTTTTGCCAAATGACTTCAAAACTGGTTATTACAAGTTGTAAGGGCCATGGAGATAACACAAAGCGCATCACACCCACCACAGGTAAAGTCTCTGTCTCAGCCCCTGCACTACACAGTAAGCCATCACTACATCTGACTATTTTAGGACATGAACAGAATCGTATTCACTTAAACTACAGCTAAGCATCTCCTCAACATAAGATAGAAAAACATTGTGGCACTTACATCTGGAACTATAACAGTTAGTTTGGGATTTAAAGCATGATACACTTTTCCAATTGCTCCTTTGTAACACCAGAAGGGGTTATAATCCTGTGCATACTTGGTATTAGAGTCCCTTGCTGTGGTAAAGATCTTGTACCAAAGCGTAGCATTGCTGTATGTTTCAGGAACACAATGTGGTGGCTGACTGCAGAAAAACAGACATAATTAGCACATTAATTGCCATTCTCTACATTCAGTAAGACTGAGTTACAAGACAGAGTCATGCCTAAGTCTTCGCAGTTGCATAAAACACAATTTTATTCTGGATCTCCAAAACAGCAAAAAAAAAAAAACAAGGATTAGCCAAAAGAGCATATAACACCAAATGATTACTATCCTAACATTAGAATTTAACTGTATGTTGTGCCAGGAAGCCAACACCCCACAGCTTAATTAGAAAAACACTGGCTTTCATATGGCTTTGTACAGTCAAGAGAACCTGTCTGATGGTCTTCCTGAGTACACTGCATAGTGTCAGGGGTTCAGAGGAGACAAAGGGAAATGATTCTGATGAAAGGGCTGTGCTTAGTGGGTTTGGCAGCAAAGCAACATTCAGCTTCTGCTGATCTCTCAGCAGGGAAGAGGATAAGAACCTCTGAGTCAAGCCTTAGCTCTCATACCAGGCAGTGAAACTGCATTATAGGATATCTTAAATTTCACTGATTCTGTTGTTCCTACTGAAGCTTAAATCACAGGTTGCATGCTGAAAGGCAGGTATGCCTGGAGTCAAAAAATCCTCTGAAAAATCTAGTGTTGCAGAAAGACAGCAAAACTCTCCAGACTCAAGACAGGGTTCTTTCAATGGGGGAAGGAAAGCAGGCACACCATTTGCACGGTCACATCATCATCCATCAGGATGTGCCAGCCTCAGAGAAGCTGCTGAGAGGTTAATCTCCCAGCAACCAGTCTATGAAAGTGTTTAAAATCCACTTACACTGTGACAGGGAATACATTGCTGGCTGCTGTCACAGTCATGCAGGTTGTGAACACAACCTGCTCGCAGTGACCATGAAGAACACAGTCGTCTGAATTCCAGGCAGCCGGCAGCGTGAACGTAATGTTTATCTCCTCGTGGGATTCTCTGCCTTTGAGAAAAGAGAGGAGAGGAAGAAAGCTGGTTTTCAATCACAAAAGTATCTGAGCAACAACCACAAGGATAAGGGCAGTGTGCAACTGAATAAGAAGGCAACCTTAGCCTGAGTCTATACCTTTGAAGTCACCCAGCATGTCTGCTACTAACAATGCAGAAAGCAAAGAGAATGTTTAAAACCAAATAAAACCAAATAAACAAAACCCCTGCAAACAAAGAAACTGCAAAGCAAACCAACAAAACCAACCCGGGAACAGCAACAAAAGCCATCAGCTGCTGGCCTATCTAATCTCTCCTCCCCTCCAAAAGAAGTGAGGGCATCAGGCTCCTCTCAGAAATGAAAACCTCAATACTTGTAAGTGAATTCATACACGTTCAGAGAATTGTATTAGAAAGTAAAATAACATATTGTCTTTCTCCTGCTTAAGACTTTGTTGAAAATTTGCTTTTTCAGAAGTTCACATTTCTGAAAAGATGCTAACAGATACTGAACTGCAGGTTGAGCACTGTACTCCACGTGGATATATTCATCTTCATATGGAAAATAAATCCAGGCTACTTGAAATGGAACTTGCATCTGATAGCTCATAAAGCAGTAACAAAATAACACACAATACAAGAACACAGATTTATAGCTATGACTACTGTTTCTTTCCAGATCTCTGGGGCTGAAGACACCTTCTGATATGATTATGAAATGCAACCTGGGCTAAAAGCTTACATTCACTGAGGTTCTATCATTAACAGTGTAATCTCCTGACAAAACTGTCAGAACGGCCACATAAGAGGTCTTCACACCACAGAAATTTTAAACATTTGTTGCTGTCTGCAATATTAAAATGCTGTACACACTTCTAAGAAATACTGATCTAATATCTGAAGATAAATCACTGAAGCACGCACCATTAATGCCTTTGAAACGTGACAAATATTTGAAGTTGTATCAAGACACAACTCTCCAAAGGGTCACTTGTTGAAGGTTTCGTTGCTTAGAATTTTTTGGCTTAAAAATAACCTTCCATTGTCATTAAGTTTGTCGTTTCATACCACAAAACCTCATCCTGGTAAATCTGAAGATTCTTTCCCATTCTGAATGCAGGGAAAAGTTTCTCTAGCAAAGAAAAGGGCTCCGCATAGGACTGCACTCACAACATGCCTGGTAACATACATTTTTGAAGCTAAAGATACATTATCAAAGCTGATGGTTGGAATTAGTGATCAATGGTTGGTCTAGATGATCTTAGTGGTCTTTTCAACCTTAACGATTCTTATTGATGACATTGGAAGTTTAGGATATCGTTCAAACTTACAAAAGCCAAGTCTTGCATACCTGAGAGTCCAATCTGGTGTCCAAAAATGGTGGAACTTAGATGTGTGATGTTGCGGGAATATCCGCCAAATGGTCTGAGTGGGTCCAGTGTCAAAGTGATTGTAACAGAGATGTTGATGGGACCAGAGTCCTCAAGAGTCTGTGGGGACTGCGTGGAAGACCTCGCCTGCCCGCTGGTGACTGTACTTTCTGGAGTTGTGGTGTCATTGATGAGATGCTTCAGGGTTTCATTCTCAGATATACAGAAGTCCAAATCATTGAATCTCAGGAGGAAAGTATTCCAGTCCTTAAAACAAATGCAAAGATTTAGTACAGATCAGCAAGCTAACCACAGGCTGCCCCTCCTGCAGCAGCACAGACCTTGCAACATACCACCTGGCTGCAGTTCCAAGCCACCCAATGTGAGTTACACAGCTCAGGAAGTGAGCACAGACACCCCCATGGCATCTCAACAACAGGCAAGTAGTTTATGAGCGTTTGGTGTTCAATCCCAACCACTACTTGGCTCAAGCAGCAGGAACATCCTCCTTCAAACTCCAGAAAGAAGTACTGGCTCAGTCCATTCTCACCAAGCTCAAAGTATGAGCATTTTCCAACAAGGCTTTCCTCATTATTGAACAGCAGTGCTAGATAAGATCACAAGTTTCACAAACAAGCTGACACAAGGGATTAAGGAAAAGAATGGCCCCTGGTTACTCTAAGGAAGATCCACGTCAGATGGTTCGGCCTCACCCAGAAACTAAAATAAACTATTCAAACATTCACACCAATGTCACCTTCCTACTAAAATGAGCAGGGAGTAAATCAAAGACAATATCCCATAAGACTGCGTACTTCCATAAAACGGTTCCTGAGGGAGGAAAATAGAATTCATTAGCACTGGGGATGTTTTACAAATCACTATTTGTACCATACCTCTGTCATTTCTGGTGACTTGATCTCCTTGATCTTAAAGAAATAACCCAGTGTCAGAAAAGCTATTGCCATAGCGCTTACGCTGATCATAAAGACCACGAGCGGAGGCCGGCTGCTGATGTAAACCTTCAGGTTCTCCAACAGGTTTATGTTGAACATTATTCTGATTGTTCACCTGCAAAAGAAAGAACATCACAACAGTGACTGGGGCTGTGTGCGCTACGGGGTGGGGTGACTATGGGGTGGCATTTCGTACTAAAAATGAGATTAAATGATGTAACTCTGGTCACTGAACACAGACTGGTATGTCTCAGCTAAAACAAATCAAAACATGTTCACATGAATCAAAATACATTCAACCTCACATTCTTAGCTCCCTGGGAACAGATTTTAAGAATTGAGGACAACTCCTAGCACAGATATCGGTGATGAGCAATGAAACCAGCCACCTCTCCACTTACCCATGCAGAATATACTGTGACTCTTTAATCCCAGTAACATTCAGACTCCTCAGATGCAGGTTATAACGCAGCCCACAAATCAAACTCCACACCTCTCTGCTTCAACTGCTTTTCGAGTCTGAGCTAAAGCCTCAAAACACCTCTTTCCCCCTTATCCCTAAAGGACAGGACCTTCAAAACGGGATCGAGAAGCAGCCAGGTGTATTTTAGGATTCTGCATCAGGAATCCTGCTGTCAGAAACACCCAACGACAGAACTGGTGGGGAGAAGAGCACGGCTCTTTGAGTCACACAGCTAGGGAACTTCTGCTAGAGTCTGTGAAGAAGGAGAGGACTCCAAACACGCTGAGGAAATGTACCGAATCATTACTTTTGTCCAAAATGCAATATTTTGTCTGATTTTTTTTTCCATTTGCAAAGTTTGATTGGTAGGCTGTGTTAAATCTGTGTCAGCTTTCCTACATCCCTGCACAAAAAGCAAATGTTCAAGCATTGGAGGCAGCCCTGCAGCACTACCTCCAGAGCTGCAAGAAGGAAAGGTGAAGCAAATCTTTTGCTGTTGTCTGACAGCATGGGTTACAAAGGTTCTAACCCCAGCTAAATCATAAGGAAGATGGCTATTTCTATAGCTACAGACCGCCTGCCTCAAAATCCCCCAGGAAAAGGCAAGCTTTGAGACCACTGTCTGAAGAATTCAGCACTGAAGTGGTTAATGTTTGAGCATTCATACAGATCTGATAACCTTTAATTAAGCTGGAGACTGCTGCCTGCAGGTCTGCATGGTTCTCATTGACTCTTATCAGAAGCACATGTCACTTCCAGCCCAGCTGGAGCCTGACCAGTGGAAGGATGCAGGGGGACGAGTTTGGAGGAGAGAGAGTGAGATCTGTGCTCTGACACAGGGAGCCGAAAGAAAGCAAGAACAGGAAAATGACAAGCTTCCAAAGTTTCTTCAGATCCCACCACGTACAACAAATGCAACTTTCTTCTGTTTATTTTTGACAGCAGAAACATTGACTAAACCTGCACCATGGCTCCAGAGAAAAGATCATGAGGTGTGTAAGGCAGCCTTGAGCTGCAGAAGTAACACAGCACAGAGCCTTCCCTGTCTGCTCCCCACGCACTGCAAAGAACCCTGCTGAAACAGGGGTTCAGGGCTCACTGCACAGCACAAAATCACAACCTGGGTTTATTTTTCACACCATCGACTGATTTTCGGCCCTTCTGCAAAGCCCTGGAAAGCTGGGAGCAAGATGGACGGGGTGCTGCAAGCACCTCATCACACAAACAGAGTGTCCTGCACGGTGCAGAGAAAGCAGAGAAAAGAAGGGAAAGAAGGAAAGGTGAGAGGTGATGACAAGCACGCTTACCAGGACTGCTGTCCTCATCCAGGAGCAGCAGCAGCTCCACCAGAGAAGCCTTGGAGGTGGCACAGAGGGGCAGGGAGTGCTGCTGCTGGGAGGATCCATGCTGGGCTGCTCAGCACGTCCTGCCTCCCATCCTCCTGCTGGCAGCCCATCTCCTACAAAGCCATCATTAACCCCCCCCAGTACCCCATCTAAAAGCACAGTGGGATGGAAATAGACCAGATAAACCAAAAGCAAGCTTGTATTCAGTGTTCCCTCCTGGATTTCCTTGGGAAAATAACACCACAGATGCAAGCTTTATTACAGCCGTTAATCAAAGCTGAACGTCACTCAGAGCACACGCAGTGCTGTGATCCCCTTTTAAAGGGGCTTCCAACTGTTCCATTAGGGTTCTTGTTTTAACAGAGGGTCTAAACTCGGCCATAAAAGCCAATGTGCTGAAAAGCACGCACACAAAAATATTGGGGCTAATATTTTTATGTAACAGATCACCAGCTTTACAGTGCCGGGTGCCTAATGTGCTTCCACAAGTCAGCAGCTTTGCAAGCAATTAGAAAAAGCTGTAAGCTGAACTGTAATGTGCCTTTGGAGAGAAAAGGGAACAACTGTGGATTTTAATACCCGAGCTGCCACGAAAACAGCAATTGGACACAGCTCATGCAAAGCAGAATTACAAGCAGCATCGCCACGCTGCTGCCCAGAGAAACAATTTTTAGGAAAATAATGTTTGAACAGCATTAATTACCAATGAATTTGTGCAAGAGATCAGAGCAGAAAAGCCAAAATGTGTGCTCCCACAGCAGCTCTGGGTTTGGGTAATGGTCCATACACTGATGCTGTTCCCTTCTGCTGAGCCTGGTTAGGAACGCAGAGCGGCTGCGCCTCTCCTCGGAGCTCACAGCTTCCCCTGTGTAAATGAATAACCTGAAGGATGCCATTGAAACTTCCATTTCTCTTTCACACAGTTAAGAAAAGAAACTGAATGCTATTACCTCCTGGCAGGTCAGGCAAACAAGATCACATTTCACTTTTAGCTGAATGAATAAGTAATTGAGAGAGAGGCCTGAAGCGCTGCTGCCGGCTGCTCTCCCTCTGGCTCTGCAGTTTAGGGCACTTTTCCACCAGGACAGCTCAGGGGTTAACACAGCAACCTCAGGAAAGCAGCACAAGCAATTGCTCCTGGTTTGTATTTAAAAGGGTATGGAGAAAAGGTGATGGCTGATACAGATCCATGAGTTTTTCCAAGAGTAAATTACAAATAAGGGAAATCTTGATGTCTATCGCAAAGACCAAAAAGTGAATGAAGTAAATCACAGCAGAAGGGTAAAAAATCACTTTTTGGGGGTTCATATCAAAGGAGCCCAACTCATAACAACAGAACCTCATGTTGTATTAATACAGCTATTAGAGGACTAAAACTGCCACTGCCAAAAGAAAAAAAAAGATGAATTTCAAAGTGATGAAAGTAAATACATGACACAACTTTTTCACGTCTCTTGCCACGATGTTGCCTAACATCTTTTGTACAGGCAGCTTTGAATCAACTCATTTCCTTCAAGATATTTTCCCTTCTACGTGTTCTACGTCTGCCCATCTCCCTGCACTTAAAAGCACATCACCCCCACTCTGCAGTTCATTTTTATGAAATTAATTATGTTCTTCAAGATGCACCACTACCAGCACCACTCTGGGCATTGGAGGTAGGTCACCTCAGGGTTAACCACCCTGATCCAAAGTGATGTTCTGTGCCAGAAAAAACCTCCAGCACAAATCAGCTGAGCTGTGATTGCCCATGAGTGACACACAAACAAAGACACAGTGCTGATCTCATACCAAAGCACTTCTCATTTCAGAAGAGTAAACAGCAGCGGGCACCAAAATTATCTTGGATTTAATTTGGCTTCCTTCTCTTCAAACAAAATGGAATGTCTAGCACCTAAAACACTAAACGTCGTGAGATAAATATTTTCTTTTTTCAATCACAACATTTCCAAACACGTGCAGCTGGCAAAAAACAGAGAGCTTTCCCACTTATGTCATAGGAGGACTTACTTTTCATAGAACCACTGAGGCTGGAAGATCATCAAGTCCAAAATCCAACCCTTCACCATTTTCCATACTGATGACTATGGAAGAATAAAATAAAGGAGGTTCTTCAGTTCATCTTTTAGGAACCATATGGAGACACCGTGGGGTGAAACTGCTCAGCCTGCCGACATCTGTGCCTTGGGACTGAGGAATCCACCCGAACACAGTGCTTTCCCCAATGGCTGATTCTCCTTCCCTCCTTCAGCCTCAGAGGAAATGCCATTGGTCTTCTCTGGGAGTTGGACTAGATGACCATCAAGGGCCCCTTCCAACTCAAACAACTGCATGACTCTTCAGCCAGGGAAATACTAACAGCAAGGCAGGCTTACCAAGGACAGGAGAAGAGATCACATCCCCTGGTATCCTTCCACCACTGTAAGCACAACCACCCCGAGCCCTGCAGGCTCACGGCAACCTCTGCTTGTTCTCAGACCTATTCCATCCCATACAGATCTTTCCTGATAAAGGAACATTTTCCCAGGAAGGAGGAAGCACACAGCACTGCCATGGAAATGGCCAGCTGAGGAAGCACAGACCAAAGATGCTGCACGATGCTGAGTGACCACGAGAGCCTTATTGCTGAAAAGGAGATTATTTCCTGATATTGCTGTGGTAACGGGGTCATTCCACAAGCAGATTATTAAGAGAAGTGTGAGAGCCCTGGGACTCAACAGAGCCAAACCATTCATACTCACACCAAGTGTATTTTTCCACCTCTTGAAATGCGTTTTGAAGCCTAATTAAACATTTCAACATCCTCAAGAGCTACAGAACCAGCAGACATCTCAGCTCCACCCGTAAAACAAAGGCAGAGGAGGGAAGTGATCTGATCATTAGAGTCAATCTGAAGGCTCAAATAAATACTGAATTTCATAAGCCCAAGTTTCTGTGCGTAACTTCTGTCAAAGGCAGAAAACAGAATAAAGGCAGAAGGGTTAAAAAACAAAAAGGAACGGTTATCTACAAACTTTTACTCATCCAAACAGCTGTAAAGTAAAAAGTAAACCCAACTTCTGCCTGAAAACAGCCATTTTGCTGCCAAAGTGCAGAACACAGCCCCGTCTGCCAACAATCTGAGCAACGGGAAGAGTGTGTTTTCATATGCAAGAGTTCTGGCTTGGGCATCTCTTAAACCTTCCAACTGTTAGAAGCCAAGTGATGACTTACGGCATGACTTATAGTCTGGATCACACAGACTGCAGCAGAACAGCAGGATAACATAAAACAGCATAGAACTTCAAAGTCCTCGCATCTAAAATTTAGATGTTACAAATTATATATCACAGAATTATTAAGGTTGGAACGAGCAATAAGATCATCTAGCCCAACCATCAGCCCAGCTCCTACGTATGACAGCCTGGGAGTGGAAAGCAAAAGGCCAATGATTCATTTGTATAGGATCTGCTCAATAGAAGCAGTTGTTATAAATTTCCATTAGAAAGCAAATTTTGTGTACCGTACTGATGGCAGCCAAAAAAAACCACAGTTCACAGAAAGGCTCTGCTCAGGAAGCAACGAAAATCTCAGTGACATTTTAATACACACTGGTTTAGCAACCAGTGTACGCAGGTTAATGGTTGACTTCATTAAGGCTACATATTAAGGAATGAGGTACAGTAAGAATACCCAAAAAAGCTTCTTCAGACAGTTTGTAACGAGAACTGTAATGAGACAGAGAGCAGACAGGTATGCAGCCTGAATCCCAAGAATGACGACTGAGGAAATGGTGTTAGTGGAAATAAATAACAAAGTACAGCTCTGCATGGGGACAGGATAACACCGACTGCTAAGAAGGGCAGAAGCAAAGCCAGCAGCCACAGCGAGGGAAAAGAATGCAAATATGGCAAAAAAAGGACTGAAACAAGTAGGCAACAGCTGATAGCTGTATCAAATATCACAGCTGGGTTAGAAACGTTGTGTTGGTATCCACACCTGGCCCAAACAAACATAACTGTAGTTTGCTTAACCCAAACCAGCCCGAATACGGTTGTCGTTCTATAGACGGATAACCAACAAAGCCTGTCAGCCAGGGCACAGCTTTCCATACACAAAAGAGGGGAGTTCTGACATCTGGGAAGCAGTTTTATTCTCCAAAAATAAAACTCCTAATAGCGGCATGGGGAAATCTGGGAAAAAGCAACAAACTGATGGTTTTCATCCATTAATGCTTCGTTTGGGGCTCATTTGGTAAAACAGGATCGTGTCTAAGAAAAGTTAAACTGTCAGGCAGTGCTCACTGGGAAAGGGAGCTGCACCCTTGGCTATGAGCTCTGCCCTGAGACGATGCAGTCCCAGCCTCTGCCCACATGAAGGACACCTGGTTATGCAGTTGCTGCCCTGCTCCCCACCTCTGATGGCACAGAGTCAATCCTGTGCTGCTGTTTCAATTCTTATCTTTCAAGTGGAAAAGAATCACGTTCCTCTGTGCAGAGCCACTCCTCGAACCGCGGGAAGCAACAGAGCTGCAGAGGCCTTAATCCTCTTTGGGAGGAGTGAACTCTGGGGTCAGAGAGCACTCAGTTTCTGGGCAGGACTCACAATTCTCTTATCTCCACTCGGCTGCTGGCAGTGCTGCCCCCCATTGTGCAGGTGTTGCAGGTGGGTGTGTGGCACAGGGTGAACCCACAGCCACCCCACGCTCCCAACCTGGCACCGGCACATCCGACACCCGTTTACTCAGAACACCAACATTTATTAAACCGAGTTAATGACTGACCAGGCTTTAACACCATTCGCATTTCAGGACACGCTACGCATCGTCAAACGTCCCTCAAGTACAAACGAGGATGCAGAAAGCAGCATTTAGGGATTCATACCCAGAGCCACGGGGTTGTTTCACAGGAATGTGGGCAGAGAAAAGCAGATAAGGGAGGGCAGAGGTAACTTCAGGGCATCTCCGGAGGAAGGCAGAGCCTCGAAGCGCAAGGGAAGAGGAGGCAGGGAGCCCTCGGCTCTGCTCGTTCCTTTGTCAGGCTGAAGCGTTCCCATGGTGCACAGTTCTGTGCTTATGATGCACGGCTCGGTCCGAACTTTGGACACCCAGCAGCCGTACCGCACGGGAAATATTATTTTTAAAACGGGATAAAACCTTCAGATAGAGATTAGAGTAAAAAGAGAACGCGATAAGGAAACAGGAAGAAAAAAAAAATAATAATAAAGGGGAAAAAAAAAAAAAAGACAAAACAGCAAAAGAATCGCTACTCGGAAACGGAAATATCCACAGAGTCCCGTAGGGAAGGCCCGCTGCGATCCCACGGCCCGTCCGACCCCCCGGCCCGTCCCAGCCCGCCTTACCGGCGCCCGAAGGGGGAAGATGCCGCCGGGCCGGGCGGGTGGAGGCCCGGAGGCGGCGGCGGGGCTCAGGGGAGGCGGGCCGGGCTCTGCAGCATCCTCCTGCCCTGCCCTGCCGGGGGGCTGCGGGGCGGGGAGGGCCGCTCCCGTCCGTCGCCGCGGCGCGGACAGCCGGACAGCCGCCTCCTCCGCCTCCTCCTCCCTCTGCCGCCGCCGCTTCCGGGGACGCAGCCGTCACCTCTCACCCCGGCCGGCCCCAACGACGGCGGCGCGGGGAGGACAAAATTGTGGCGGCGGCGTGCGGCCCTCAGCCTCAGCGCGGGCGGAGCCACCGCACAGCGCCCGGCGTGGCGTCGGGGCTCGCGGCGCTGCGAGGCGGGCGGAGCTCGGCTCCTCACTTCCCGCACAGCCGCCTGTAATCCCGTTCTTTTCCCCCCCCCTCGAGGTCCGCCCGGCCTCGCCGCAGCCCTGAGCGAGGGTTTGCGCAACGCGTTCAAAAATCAGCCGGAAAATAAAATAAAATAAAATATTTTAAAAAAGGGCCGTTGGATATGAAATCGCTGCCACCGCACCGCTCCCGCTGCCCTCAGTGCCGCATCCCCACGGTTCCTGAGCGCCCCCAGGGATGCTGAGCCCCTCCCCGTGCCGCTGCAGCACCGCTCTTTGGAGATGAAATCGTTCGCTGTGCCCGCCCTGATGCCCCCCTGGTGCAACTTCAGGCCATCGCCCCTCATGCTCCCTCCGTTACCTGGAAGAAGCAGCCGCCCCCCGCCTCGCCCACGGCTCCTCTGAGGAGCTGCAGGCTGGAACAGCGCTCCTTCTGCCCCCCGACAACTTTAAACTTCATTAAAAGTTGCTGTTAAACAGCACCGTTTACCTCCGTCCCTCCCTACCCGACTCACGAGATGCCCACAAAGAGCCTCACAAAGACAACGTCCACCACAAGACGGGGAAATATTCGTGATAATTTGGTAGAAGAATCAGTTTAATTTCATAGCTCAGTTATGCAAAACCGAAGATGTACAGTCCAATTAACCAATGCTACTCCAAAAGAGGCTCCTTACCACAGCAAAATTAATAGGTAGCTCACATGCAAAGTAGCTTACAGCATGTTCTGATTCCTGGTAACGAGACACGCAGACTCCATTTTCAGTAACACAGAACTAGCAGCAGGCTGTGGAAAAAACAAGGAAGCTCTGGTGCTGTGACTGTTACCAAAGCCCTTTGGCCAATTCACTTTTTCAATTAAACTCCCCTGTTCACTTGTAGCTTGTTCATAGCTACTATTTCCTAACAGGACTTTCTGTCCCAATCTCACCTGTGGGACCAGAGCACCTCGTACTACAGCGATGCCCAATGCTGAGCACCAAGCCCACCTGGTGTTGCATAGGATCACCATCTCATGGTGAGGTGACACAGCATCCTGCAGCTCAGCACTCTGCACGACGGCTTGCCCATTCTGAACCTCAAACACTAGAAAGATATTCTGTAGTTATCACGTTAGTGACTGAACTACCTTATTTTTAAGCAAGACAAACTATTGTTTTACCTACAGACAAGCTGGTCACCTAATAAAATACTGACAAGGTATTCAGCTGGGATATGGAAATCCACATTACCTGCCTTACAGGGATCTGGAGGATTTGTTTGCCAAAACCACTCCCACTTCAGTGGCTCGATAACAAGATGGCATATGGATTAGAGATACCTTAGTTACCAATGCACCAGGTCAGTCTATCTAATGTATTTAACTTTCTGCAAAGAAAAAGACATTGTTACCTAGACTTGCACTTGAATGACTAGGAATTCTCTCCCCCCAAACACAGATAAATCAGAATCAGTCACAATTACGTTCACATTAATCATTAACACCATCACAAAACCCAGTGATGAAATTTTTTAGGAGCTCATTAACAAGGGCGTAACGTACACACTTTTATTTAAACATAGCAAATTACACAACAGCTAATTTCCACCCCCTGGAAAGCCTGCGTACCAGGATATCAGAATTAGCACCTAATGTTCATAAACCCAATAAAGGCTTTGCACTATTATTTACTGCAAGCACTGGTCAGATCCTAGGCAACGTGGACAACATGGATATATGAAATAATCCAACTTCTGTGAATGCCTGGTTAGCCCATTGCTTCACCTTACCAGGGGAATTCTGAGTAACTGGTTCTCTCCCAAAGGAATGCATAGTTCGTGCAGCTGAGTACATGTGACAAAAAGGAACAAAACCACAGTTTTGGTCTGAAGTTATTGCAGTGCAAGTCTAAAATATGTGTTTGCAGAGCAGTGGAACATACAGAGGTAGGGGACACTCCTCCTCCTTGCTAAGAATTTAATGTTGCTTAAGAGCAGTTCAAGCTAAGTAGCTCTACGTTAGATATCTCAGGTACACTAACAGGTCGTGGCAGACTGGATGAACTGAGAGATTTAAAATGATACATAAAATATTTCACTAGGATTAAGAAGTTCCATTGCGAGAGGTTACTTTTTTGTGGAGTGAACTGTTCTTAATTTGAAATTCACCGATCTGAACTTGTAGTGACATAATGCCATATTTATCTTGATGCTCAATAGCTCAGCAAGGTAATTTTAGGGTCATCGGAGATCAAAAGAGTGATGTTTTGTGAAAATAAAGTGCACTTTTCTGCTCAGAGCCACGGCTCATCCTTCTGCTAAAAAGCAGCCTCTAATTAGATGATCTCATTTATCAACCAGGATTGTCAGAAAAGCAATCAAGACCCAGTCCAATGATGGAATCTGATGGAAACTGCCAGGCAATGCCAGAAAAGAAAGCCACTTTGGGCATAATTCTTGCATTCTTTCTCTCCCCACTTTTGTTCTAAATTACACAGTTTTTATTAAAAGTCTTCCCTCATAGATATGAAGCCTGGCTCATCATTCTCTTCACAAGTGCTACCAGCAAAGCTGTCATCTGTACTGACACCAGAGAGAATGCTGACATTACGTAAAGAAATGTCCTAAAACAAAACCACCGAAAACCAGGAAGCTGACATGAAGATGCCTTCATGTACAAGAACACCCCCTCCAATTGATCAGTTACACCATTTAGCTTACTGAAAGACTAACAGTGTACTTGGCTGTAGACTGCAATGCAATTCAACCAAAAGGTGCTAAAATGAACACATCCATCTCATTTCCACTAATACACAAGATGTCATGCACAGCTGAGACATTAGATTTGAAATCTATTTACAATTGTACATATTTTACAAGATACATTTCATCTTTACAGCTACAGAATAAACCAAACTAACATTGGTAGCGTTCAAGTTTCAGCTGGAACTTGAAATCTTTATGTTAAACTTAGTAATTAAAAACGTTTAAGTGCATGCCTGTGAGGAAGCTTGCAGGAAAGATGTCAGTGAACTAGTGTTGCTTAAAAATTACACTAGTTTGTGTAGAAAATTTAAGTTCAGTTCAAAAACTCACAAAAGCCTAATAGAAATCTAAATTGACTAAAATAAATACAGTTTATTACACTTAACCAAAAAATGCACCTTTAAAAATGTATTGATTTAAGCTCATCTGATTTTTAGCCTTGAATTTACTTCCCTTCCCAAGAAGCAGATAGTGCTAGGTGAGAACAATGATGCTCTTCAAATTTAACACCCATTATTATCCTGCATAAACCTGAGGCTGCAGTGGTGGGGGCAGCTTGTCATTCTCCACATTTTCAGAGTCAATAGCTGCTAAGGCTTGATTTTTTGGTTTTATTTCTAATGGATATTTCTCAACAATATCTTGGACTTCCTTTGCAACTCCATCAGTCCAATCTATTAGGTCTTTCTCAAGCTTCTTGGCTTCACTGACAATTCTATCCTGTCTCTCATTCAACTGAGACAGGAGATCTAAGTTTTTATACATCTGCTTCACACCCAGGCACACATCAGGTGACCAGCTGTCAGATTCTTGCTTCTTCGGGGATGTCTGACCAGTCATAAAACGATCAAAATCCTCTTGGCTTAAATTTAAAGACTGAGCATCCAGTTTTTCAATGAAGGCCACAGCACAGCACTACAAACAAAACAGAAAAAGTATCATTGCAAGCTACAGACTGGAACTTGGGTGCTCTATTTTTTAATCCTGCTGTTAGACCCAAAATTGATTATTTTATGCCTCAGATCATTTCAAAGGAGCTTTTCAGAGAGCTAGCTCTATCAGACAGTTCCCAGGCCTCTCTCTCCTCTCCAAAGTTTGAAGAAGTCAAACTCAGAGAATGATGCAGGAAGACATCAATCATTTCAGCTGAATAACTTACAGCACACACCACAGGGTCACTGCATTCTGGAAATGGGATGAGAAAGAACATGATAACTAGACAGAAGCACTATGTTAATATTTAATAAGCCAATCAGTGAGAACCAGTATGCTCTCTCCATTTTCTAAAAGAAGGAATGTTGAATGCCCACCTTACCTCATGGACATACTTCTACTGACAGGAATTTCTAACATTCCAAGTATCTCATTCAACTACATATTTTCCTTGAGAGCTGCTTTAAGATGAAATGTAGAGAAGCCAAGCAGTTCATAATCACAATTCTTTCTAGCATAAACAAGCACACATACAAATGCCTCCTACATCTGTTTACCTCCACAGACTAATTCTGCAAACCCCTGATGAGATGAAACTCTCATGGACTTATATGGGGAACCCTGCACCTGTAACATCTGCAGTGCCCAAGCTCAGCATTTCAGGAATAGAAAACACTTATCTCCTTAAAGAATAAAAACATACTCAAGTCTTAGCACAAGACTGCTTAATAAAGGGCTTCATACTCCAAAGAGCAAAACACTGT